ACAGATTTTTCTCCAACTTTGCATATCCTAATATTCCCAAAAGTGCTAGGTCAGGTGCGAAAATTAACAATATCGGTCCACTCCATCAAGTACCTCCCCCACAAAAGGTGAAAATTTTGAATAATTATAACTCTTAAAAAAGGTGATGTAAGAGCATGATTGTCTTATTATCTTATTGATTACACACATCTCAATATATTTATTAACCCAAGGTCTGGTATGAAGATGGAATATATCAGCCAACTTCTTCTGGTACCTCCCCCACGAAGGTTCAAAATTTTGAATATTCATGAAGCTCATAAAACACGAAATTAACATCCGATTCCATGAAGACTTGGTATATCTCAATATTTCCATATACACAAAATCTGATATAAAGATGAAATAAATCGGTCCACTCTTCTGGAAACTTTCCCAAAAAGGGTCAAAACAATCATAAAATCCGAAATAAGCATCCGGCTCTCTTCAAATTACCCACATTACAATATTTTTATTAACCCAAGGTCTGGTGTGAAGATGGAATATATCGGTCCACTCCTTCTAGTACCTCCCCACTCATAAAATCATAAAAAATCGCTCATAAAACGCGAAATTAACATCCGATTTCATTCATACTTGGCATATTTCAATATTTCTGATCTGATATGAGTATGTAAATTATCGGAATTGATAATTTCGCATAAAAGTGGATATAAATGTTCGATTTCTTTCAAATTTTTCACATACCAATATTTGTATCTGTATTAGATGAAGTATGAAAATGAAAAACTTCGGTCCTCCATACCTGGTACTTCACGCATATTTCCACATTTACCAAAAACACATGCACATATCTCATATAAAGTATAGGACGTAGACAATATATATTGTCCAAATCTGGAGCTAACCAACACTCGTTTCCAACCGTTCGAATGTAGCAACTACAAGCATATAAAACATTTGTATGTTTAGAAATACAATTATATTTTAGTGTCTTCTATAAGAAACATTCTCCTTCAGCTTATTTTTAAATAAAAACTTCAGTATCTTTTAAACGATTGCCTTTGCACTAGCAAACGAAAATACTCTCCTTCACTTTATTGACAAAACAACTCAACTCCATTATAAAAATGATCTCTTTTTAGCATGCACATCGAGCTTAATGTCTTCTTAGCTCGCTTATAAAAATTCGACCTATACATGTACCAGAGATTTACTTGTCCATACTGCCTCGGGTCCTTCCCCATGAAAATGCATTTTTATGTTAGTCCATAAAAATTAAATTCACTTTTTGTTAGAAAATTAAAATACTCCAATTCACATTGTTGACAAAACCACTCCGAACTTCAACTCTTTTAAAAGAACAAAACTCCTATTAAGATACTGCTTTTTCAGCTTACTGACTTCTCAGCTCGCTTATATAGTTATACCCTTTTTTAACTTATACTTATACCAAAGACATATTTCTTCATACTTCCATAAAAATGTTTTCCTCGTCCATGAAAATGTTCCTTTTATACTTATCCATAAAAATGCTCCCGTAAGCCCATCTATAAAAAATCTCTAAAAAAATCAACTTTTAAGATCGTTTATAAACAGAATTTCTACAGAATCTTTTTTTTTTTTTTAATGGTTTTCTTGTAGCTTTCATATTGAAATACTCCCCTTGCCACAGTTGGCAAAACAATTTCCAACTCAGCCCTTTTCACCTTGCGTTCTTCTCAGTTCGCTTATAAACATTTTCCATTTTCAACTATACTTATACCAAAGACTCACTTTCCCAAACTCCCATTCGGCTTCTCTATAAATTCAGACATTTTTCTTAATTTCTGAAGACTTTTGTGACTTCTCTTACCATTTCCACTGTGTGTCCATCCTGTTTTACATATTTACATAAATGGCATCGGGGAAAATCATCTCAAGGACAAATATACAAGCAGTAACAACATTCCAGAATAATTTCAAATGAACGACAACTTAAATTGCCCGGATAATCTCTTTTACACGGTGTTTGTTGTTGGCCCATGGTTGTGTTGGGATGTTTTTGTGTTCCATGTTAATGCTACGCAGAACAGTAACAACATTTTATCCTCCCCGTCCATATTGTGATCATGTTTTCTTGGCATCAGCTGCTATTGCCAAACAGCTTCTACACTTTGTGTTTGAGATTATGCCCGTTGCTAGCTATTGAACGATCAACATCGAAATGGCTAACATAAATATTTAACACAGGTCCATAAATTTAAAACCAATTAGCCAAGTAGATTTTAAAATAACTTTAGATTCCCAATTTTCATGATTCTTCTTTTTGTATTACATTCACTTATTTACGTATTTTTGTATTTAATATTGAAATTGGGGTAATGTTAGAAGAAGTTGAAATATTACATTTCTTGGTTGATCTTTGCCTTATGAGTTATTAATCTTTTCCAGAGATATTTTAGAGATTCCAGGATATTGAAAACGGCTTGCAAATACCTTATTTTTTTGTTTTCGAAGTCCACGGGAACAGAATATTTAATTAAGAGTTTCCAGCTGAAGGATTGTGACTTGAAATAAATTATAGGGTGCCAAATCGTCGTCAATGTCATTCAACTTATATTCCTATCACTTCATTCAAAAGACAATTTATATTTGCTTACAGATAGCTAGGCCAAAAATGTTGCAATAAATAGTGTAAGGATTGCATCTCCTCCCTCTCCACCAAAAATATATCAACAACATTTTGTACCAAGCCATCCATCCATCAAGCCATTGCAACAATTTGTTTGTTTGTCGAAGAAATTACCTAGCTTGTCTCTTCGCCATATCTGTCGTGTTCTAATAAAATTGTCTTGTGTTTTATTGCTATTTTATGTAAAAGACAAATAGATGTAACATCATTATCTTAAAGAACAACAATCAGTAGTGCAAGCTGGAACATCTGCAATCTATTTGCAACGTGCTTATATAGAATACAACGCAGCTATAGAGTATTCCAAAGCAATATATATATGCAATTATTGTTATTTATTGTCCACGCGAATAGAATTTTGCTATACCTGATAGAAACATAAGACAACAACAATAAAACGCAGTAGGAAGTTATACTATTTAAATGAATTAAAACAGCCAAGATTTTTTGATAAAAAAAACCCATAGGAGATAGTTTTTTAGATATAGCAATTTGTATAGAACCGCTGACTTGTTTCGATAGTTATGACAGATATAAGTATTGGAAATTTAGGGTTGGCATATATATATCATCTTCACAACAGATCTTGTGTTAGCAAAAATATTTGGATGTTTGAAATTTGAAGAGAACCGAAAGCTTATTTCAGATTTCTGGTCATTTTTGGTTATTTAAAACTTTGACCCTTTGTGGGGGAGGTACCAGAAGGAGTAAACCGATATATTCCATCTTTACACCAGATCTCGGGTTAATAAAAATATTCGGATTTTTGATTATTTTAAACTTTGACCCTTTGTGGGGAAGGTACCAGAATGGTCCGATCTGTACCATCTTTATAACATATCTTGTGTTGATGGAAATATTAAGATATACCAAGACTGGATGGAATCGGATGTTAATTTCACGTTTTATGAGCTTCATGGATACTCAAAATTTTGAGCCTTTGCGGGGGAGGTAGCAGAAGGAGTGGGTTAATAAAAATATTTGGATGGGCTAATAAAAATATTGCGATTTGTGTAATTTGAAGACAATCGAACACTTACATCATATTTTATAAGAGTTATAATTATTCAAAATTTTGCCTGGGGCAGGCAATTGATAGAGTGGGCCGATATTGTTCATTTTCGCACCTGACCTAGCACTGATGCAAATAGTAGGATTCTCAAAGTTAGGGTAAAATCGGATGATTCTTTCTCTTTCTGTGCAGTCAACTATTTTCTTTGAAAATGTTGAGATTTTTTGGGGGAGGTACTAGACAGAGTGGAACGATATTGCCCATCCGCAAACTCGATCTAAAGACACATTACGAGGTACCAAGTTTGGATTTAATCGGATACTCTCTTCGAGAGTTATCGTGCGTACCAGCCAGACAGACGAACGAACGGACATCACTAGATCGACTCCAAATGTCCTGAAACGGATTTGGTCCAAAGAAACCTAGGGTCTAAAACCGTTATATTGATGAGACACGTTTTGGCCACATCATATGGTATATACCCACTTTAGCCATATGGCTGAGGGTATAAAAATATGTGAAATCTACGAAAATAGGGCACAATTTTAAAAAACTTACGACTTCGGTCAGCTCATATATAAAATTCCCCTTTCAGTTATATATCATCCTATGTAAATAGATACATACTTTCTGATCGATTTTTCTATACTTTGTCTATGTGGAATCCTGCTCCAGTATATTTACCATTCATCTCTACAGACCCCTTTCATCTCATTAATTAAGAAACTTCTATTCAGCTCCTCTATTAAATGAGTTCAACTTCTGACGAAATACTTAGACTCGCTTTCAGCTCATTTATATAGAGTTTTCCTACTTTAGCTTCGTAGAAAAGTCTCTTAGCTCGCCTGCAAAAATATATCCTGTTCAGTTTTTCTATGAAAACCCTTCATAACTTCAAATATACCTGTCTTTACTTTAAACCATGTATAAAAAAAACTCTCTATCTGTTATAGACATTTTTTAGCTCATCAGTTATAAGATTTTAATTCAGGTCGTCTATAAAACGACTGATTTATTAGATAGCACCACCAAACATATTCTTAAAGGGTTTTGGCCACCAAAAGCTTTGAAGATAGAAGCCACTAAAATTCTTAAGCCCTTAAAGATGTCATGTTCTATTGGGGTGTACAGTCCTTAAAAAATTTTTAGTTTAGTTGCATAGCTTTTTGCTACGATAGTTCTTTTTAAAAATATACAAATTCTAGTCAGACAGAAAGTAATGCTAAATAACTTAGAAATCTATTGGTCTTGTTGGTGTTGAAAAGATAGTTTTTAAAATTTTAAAGCCTTAAGTACACTACCTTATTAAAATAAATAAAAATCTTTTAACGCAAATTCATTTTAGTCATCATTTAGATTTATGTATTTCCATATTCTCTTCTGTAATAACATGTTATTAAAAATCACAATTGTGTTGGAATTTGCAATAGAAAGTATTCACCCATCCTATATTAAAAAAGGGAATAGTTCCAAAAGACATAATATTAATCATTAATAATATTTAAACAAATGAAAATAATACAACATTTTTTGGTGCTTGCCTCTGACATTGCAGTTTTGTCTTTTAAGTTTGGTATACAGAGTATCGTACGTTGAGGACAACTGTTAAAGCTTATTGCTTTGGGGCTTTATTCATGAGAAACCACATAACGCCCAGTAGGCAACTGGGTGGGCTATTATTATCGGAGCCTTGTTGTACCATTTTACGGGCTTCTTCTATACTCAATTCAACAACCTCAATTAGTTCGTCATCAACCCCACCGCCACTTGTACTCTTGTCGGCATCGGTGACCTCGCAATAGTACATTTTTTGCTTTGAACCTTGGGAGCCCACACCAGACCTACAAATGGGAATATAATGTAAAGATGAATTAATGAAACGCTTACACACGCATGTATTTGTAGCCAAAAAAAAGCACTGCCAAATTAATTACAATATACTACTCTTACCTGTATGTCATTACTTCTTCTACCCTCTCCACGGGTACATCATAGCCACATTCCTCTAGAACTTCTTCACGGGCAATATCATTCCAGCTTTTATCTTTATCCACAATACCAGCACACAATTCCATGGTACAGCCCAAGGATGGTGGATATTTCTTTAAATCGACATTATCCACATTACCACCATCAGTGGTCACAATGCCATGGAAGACAGCCGGACGAAATTGTTTGACAAAAATCAGCTTCTGCCGCGTCGTATTGTACAAAACAATGGACACACTGTCATGTACTTTCAGCAAATCCCAATTTTTCTCCTTGCCATTCTGGACATAATAGAAGCGAAATGGTTTCACATACGGCGAATCGGCAGGCAAAGGTCCTAACCACACTTTAGTAATTTGTTCCATATTTGCTAGAAGTTTACTTAATTTACTCAAATGCTGTTTGATGTTCCCAATTGTGTGAGGCAAATAAAGACTCCACGTAATAGCACAAGAGCGATAAACTCGATAAACAGCAGGCAAAAAAAAAATATATTTGTACTTGAGCAAAAAAACCCAACAGTACAATCTATGCAAAAACAACTAAATGTAGTGACTTTTGACTTTGCTCACATAATGTAAACAAAAACAGCTGATCTGTTGCAGTTACTATTTCGATAACGGTCATGTTCTTTATTAGGGGGTTTTATCGATTATTCGTATATTTAACGGTCACACAGGGAAACCTAAGTTGTGTTCCAGAACATGCAAATTAGTACTAATTAGCGCTAATTCTGCTACAACGCGTTCCCGTACTCCAAAAACTAGCAAAACTTGCAGCTCTCTCGAGAAAAAAATGGCGCTGAGTGGTGCACATTTCTGCTTGTTTTAGCTACATGAATTTGGCCGAGCAGAAATGAGCATATTGTAAATTTGACATTTAATTGGTAGGGCTAACAAGGTAGAAAAATGTATTGATACATTTCAATAAAGAAAATGATCAACTTGAAAACTAAAGGAAAAACTAACAGCCTGTTCCACGATCTCGAAAGAAAATTTGTGCGAACGAAGGCTACTCACTCACTTTCGTATAAGAATGCGTTCCACTAACTTTCGTTCTTTCTTTCGCATAGCCTTACGTGGTTCAGTGTTGCTAAATATTTTTTTGGAAAAATTAATCGCGAAATAAGGCAAAAAAAGCGCCAAATGTCTAATTTAAACGCGAAAAAGCAGCAGTGGCTCTGTCTCAACTGACATTTCAGTTGTAAACAAACAAATTGTAAATAAACAAACAAAATAAAAACTCTATTGATTGTGTTCAAACTATTTGTACTCTTAGAAAATAAAAAAAAGAATAGTTCCGTAGCCCTATTTTTTATGGATGATGTGGAGGAGGTTCAAAATGTGCCACGGAGGCATTTAAGAGATGCTTCGAATTTATTTGAAGTACCTAACAACCAGTAAGTATGATTGTATTTTTACATTTTTGAAATAATAAAAAATAATAATAATATTTTTTCAAGGTTTGTGGCCAATTTTCGTGTGTCGAAGGAAGTTTTCGGGCTCTTTTGGATATGATGGAAGAGAAGTGGGTGCCCGGTTGCAGAACTATCCAAATCCGCCCCGATTTAAAACTTCTTCTGCTGCTTCCAAAAATTGGCACTCCTCTGGCGAACACAGGATTCTCCTCCATATACTAGTGCCCGCAGCTGTGTAGTTGATGATTTTTTCGTGCTGGAATTGAGAAAATAAAAAAATATATATATTTGTTGTTCATGCAAATTGCATTTATTATTTTTACTTACATTTTTGTTTCCATTTTCAATCAAGCAATGTTTATGTTAAAACAATTTTCCTTAATTGTTATTATACGATAGCAAACACACAAGTGACTGATTTTGACATTTGTGTTCGCATGCATACGAAAGAAAAAAGATAGTGGAACGCAAAATTACACTGAAATGCTTACGTTTTCGTTCGCTTTGATTTTCGTGCAAATTTTCGTTCTGATGGATTTTAGTGGAACGGAAATCAGCTGTTTGTCGTGTAAAAGTTGTGCGAACGTGTTCTTTCGATATCGTGGAACTGGCTGTAATATTTGTCGTGCAAAAAACAAAAAGAGAAAATATGGAGGAACTGATGTATTCACTTTTGGATGATTCCAGCAGTGAAGAGGACTGGCTGAATGAGGAATCAGATTATTTATTATTATTATAAATTATTAATTTTAACTTATCGTCTTCAATACTCATTTTTTAAATGTTGGCGCTCTTTTCAGTAAGGTTTCACCAGTCCGATTTAGGCTGTTTACTTTTGGAATTTTGACATTTTATCGCATTTCTGCTAATTTTCCGTTCCCTTATTTTTTGAGCAAACCCAACTTTCCAATAGCTCTTAAAAATCATCTGATATTATCACTCTTATATTCATTGAATAACGAAAACTTATTGCGCTAACTTTGCTTATTTCACATATTTGGTGTTTATGAGTTTCACCATAAAAAAGTATAGAAACTCAGCGATTAAAATTGAAGAGTATGCTCCCCAATACGCCTTACGCCACGTTTTAGGTTTTATTCACGCTATCGATACCGGCACCACTACGTTATTATCGATAATTTTCATCTGTCATGAAATATACCTGCAAACTACAACAACACAACATCAGGCTATCATCGTTGACATCTCTATCGAACGAACGGAGGTAAAAAATTTGCGAAAAAAGAAGAAGTGGAGGCAACATTTGCATAGCTAAAAAATTATACAATACTAGTTTAGAGAACCGCTAATTGTTAAGTGAAACTAAAAGGCATTTCTTCTCAAATTATAGTTTCCAAATCCGCAACGAATCGACATAAGTGAGACAAAATGATGCAGCCAGTAAAAATGATTTTTTCCAGCATAGCCCGTCGTGGCTTTGCCACCACTTCTCGGGCAGCAGCCGCACAACAAATGACCGTGAGAGATGCCCTGAACAGTGCCTTGGACGATGAAATGGCACGTGATGAGCGTGTATTCATCATGGGCGAGGAAGTGGCCCAGTATGATGGTGCCTATAAGGTGAGTTTTTCTTCCAACAGCAAGAAAAATCATTTTCACAGTGATTACGTAAAATCCGTGTACGGGTTAGGATGTGACATTCATACAAACATATTGTCAATGTTGAGTGAGTGCATTCATATGGGTTTTCTTCTATTCGATTCTGTTGTTGTTGTTGGTGCTGTTCGTCGGAATGTGTGGGGGAAAGACGAAGTAATGACAGTTTTGGAAAATAGAACATGGGGAAAGCAGTTATTTAATTTGTGTGATAACAAATCATCATAAAACAAGTGTGCGTATGTATGTCAATGAATGCGCGCGGTGATTTTTTAAGGTCATTCAATTCACCAGTTAATAGGAAACAAATACGTCACTCATTTGTTATTAACAATTAGTGACGCGCCACAGTATAAACAATACATTGTTTCAAGTGATATAATTGATTTTTATTGTTGTTGCTTTTATTCTTTTGTTTGCAGATTTCTCGCGGTCTGTGGAAGAAATATGGAGATAAACGTGTCATCGATACTCCAATTACTGAAATGGGCTTTGCCGGTATTGCTGTTGGTGCTGCCATGGCTGGTCTTCGTCCAGTTTGTGAATTTATGACATTCAATTTCTCCATGCAAGCCATTGATCATGTAAGTGAATTGCTTTTATAGGATTAAAGCATTAATATCACCTCAATATCATCAATTTTTATTAGTTTCTATATTAGTTTAGTTTGAATTTTTGCCTTGGACCATAAATATTTGCAAAATTCTTTGGCTCATTAAACTATAATGTAAAACGCATATTGTCATCTGAATAGAACGCCAAAGGGAAGAAAAATATGGGAACTAATTTAAATATAATTGCCTCATAAATAATGCATTGGTACTTCAGTTTGAATATGTAGTATATTCAATACTAAACTAACTTAGAGCCTTAGACTCTGTATGATCGATTAGGGATCGGTACATTAAAATATCGCAAATGCGAATCATTAATTGTTTTTCGGTATTTCATTGTTTCTGTTCTGTCTTTGGGTCCTTAGAGGCGCATCTTTAAGAGATTGAAAATAGATAAAGTCTATCAAATTCGTTTTGGTCACTGTAAAGAACTGTTCTTCAAGTATTTGGGTTATTTATAACTTTCTCTTTATATATCCTCAACCATATGAACGTACCAAAAACGTACCTCATCAAAATAACGGTTTTAGACCCTAGCTATCTTTGGACCAAATCCGTTTCAGGACATTTGAAGTCAATCTAGCGATGTCCGTCCGTCTGTCAGTCTAGCTGGTGTGCACAATAACTCTCAAAGGGAGAATCCGATTTGATCCAAACTTGGGACATCGTAATACTATCATCACTATCGAGTTCGGAGATGGGCAATATCGGTCCACTCTTTCTAGTACCTCCCCCACATAATGACAACACTTTCAAAGAAAATAGTTGACTGCACAAAAAGAGAAAGTTTAATCCGATTTCGTTCCAACTATGCAAATCCTAATATTTGCATCAGTTCTTGGTCAGGTGCGAAAATGAACAATATCGGTCTATCCCCACACAAAGGGTTAAAATTTGTAATAATTATATCTCTTATAAAATGTAATGCAAGAGTCCGATTGTCTTCAAATTACACACATCACAGTATTTTATTAACCCTCACCCACAAAAGGGTCAACATTTTCAATATTTATGAATTTTATAAAAAGTGAAATTAACATCAAATTCCATTCAGACTTGACACATCTTAATATATCAGTACAAGATCTGTAATAAAGATGGTAGAGATCGGACCATTCTTTCTGGTACCTCCCCCACAAAGGGATTAAAATTTTGAAAAGTAAAACGCTAAAAGAAGGCGAAATAAGCATGTTAATCCATCCATCCGTCTCCTCGATTTTTCTACATACAAACAGAAATTGATTTTATGAATTTATCTATGTTCTCATAAATTATTTTACCAACAATTATATTTTTACAAAAACATTTCCTGTTATAGTTTTGTTCTTTGAAATCATTCTTAAATAAGTTTTACTCATTTCCATTATTTATCTATCCAATAATTCTATCATACATTGTACATAATAATTGTTAACTTTAACTCATATTATCTCAAAATCTTTTAAGTAAATTTGTTATATACAAAATATAATCGTCCATGATGAGTGTAAAGGCATCGTAATTCATCAAGAACGAACGGGAAATGCCAACAATATCAACTTCTTTTTTGTCATAATATTAAAAACCTATAAAAACGAAAACGTTAACAACATAATGGGATAATATGGGTTAAGTTCTCTTTTTTACTACATCAATAGAGTTGATTCCCCCAGATATGGTTTAAAATCTTCAATATTTTAAACACATCACACAACAACTCTAAAATTGCATCCTTAAATTATGAAATAAATACAATTTTTGAAAAATTCTTAAAATAAATGACCCATATTATCCAATTATATGAAACAGGGTTCGTTGTTGAAATCAAAATTGTCAAGCCCATTGTCGATGATGCGTCAAATGCACACTCAAAATGGTTTATCGCATTCAAATCCCTTTGCCACCATCCCAATATATGCCGTGGTGCAGCCACAATTGAATCGCATACCACTGGGAGACTACATGCCCAAGCGACCAGAAATCGGTGATCCAACCAAATCAAAGTGGTTGGATGAAATTGGTGATGTAGCTAATGAAACAAATGAAATTCGGGCGCCCACCGATTCAAAAACTGATAAAATGGAAGCGGCAAGAATGATTGTCATCAGACGGCGTAAAATGAAGAAACACAAGTTAAAGAAATTGCGCCGCAAGATGAAATTCGAATGGGCCAAGGTTAGACAACGTCGTGAAATGCGCAAAGAAAAAGCATTCCAAGCTAAACTTTTGGCACAAATCAAAGATGCCGAAGCCTTTAATGCTGCCAAATTTGTGGCCGATAAAATACAACAGGCCAAGGAAACACCATTGCCACGTCACTGGAAGGGACGTCGTTTGCCGGCCTTTATAATCAAAGAGAAACTGGGTATTAAATAAAATCAATTGCAAACAAGAAAAGTCTTTGTTTCCTGTAGTTTGTAAGAGTGTTTGTTAAGTCAAATAAAAAGTATAAGATTGCAAAATTCAATGAATTTTGTGCCAAACCAAAATGTTGTTGTTGGTATTTCCTGAGATCTTGGGTGATTTTACGAGGCCTTAGAAGCTTTGCCCAAATTTATGTGTAATTATTTTATGTTCATTCTCAAAATTAAGGTCATCAACTCCGCTGCCAAAACATTCTACATGTCTGCCGGTATGGTTAATGTACCAATTGTATTCCGTGGCCCCAATGGTGCTGCTGTCGGTGTAGCTGCCCAACATTCACAGTGCTTTGCTGCCTGGTATGCCCATTGCCCTGGCCTTAAAGTCTTGTCTCCTTATGATTCCGAAGATGCTCGCGGTCTATTGAAGGCCGCCATTCGTGATCCCGATCCAGTTGTCTTTTTGGAAAACGAAGTCGTATACGGTACCTCATATGCCGTTGATCCCAAAGTCTTGGACAAGGACTTTGTTGTGCCAATTGGTAAGGCCAAAATCCAAAGGCCTGGTAAACATGTTACACTTGTGGCCCATTCCCGTGCCGTTGAGACTTGTCTC